CAGACCTATACTCCTGTCTTTCCTCTTCTCTCTCTGTCTACGCATCCTTCTGCCTCCTCTCCTTCTTCGACCAACACTAGTCCAATTTCCACCAGCACCCTGTAGGTCAACAACACTGGTGGCGGTCGTTGTTAACCCGGGCCTCGACTGATCTGGTATGGAATTCACACGATGATTCGTATGTTTAAATTTGGCATGTTTTTACGCCGGATGCCCTTCCTGACGCAACCCTCCCTATTTATTATTATTTAGTTATATTAACCTATGCAAGTGACATTAACATTATCAGCCTATTGTATTGTCCTTATGGTAAATTTAATTTAAAATAATTATCAATTATTTTTTGAGAAATGTCTAACATATTGGATTTTAATAGGCTAGCATTAGCTTTGTCATTTGGTTACATTAGTTATGCAACAATTACACCAGGTAGATGATATGTAAACATCTTGCAACAACTACACTATATGTAAGAAAGTCTTTGTGTTGTGCAACTCCATTTAAATTTTGCTGTGTGTACAAATTGGCTTAATGTATTTAAAACCTTTGTTACAGTGTAAGTTGACTAACTTTTAACTGAGAAACAGCCAACTTAAGCAAGTGACTCCAGTTCAGCAAGCGCCACAGATGAGTTAACATGACAAAGAATTTAATTAAAATTAAGAGCACAGTAACAAAAAAACAACACAAATTATTATCAGTGGATATGCAATAGTTCTGATGCTTTCTCTCTACCACTTTTTTTCAGCGTATGGGCAGTTTGTACATCAGCTTAAAGACGCAGTGATACTATGTTTTGCTGAACAGGGGTATCTCATTGTTTACCAGCGCTTTATATCTTTGTACTTTTGAATACCATACCTCATTCTCAGCCTTCTACTCCTGCTCTTCAGAGTAGACTTAATTATTTATCGCCATGATTTATTTAGCTTTGCTCAACACAATGCCAGCAATCTTCATCCTACTGTCTCTGACTCTCACTCTGTCCCTACCTCTTTCTCTCTGTCTCTCCCTGTCTCTTTATCTTCCTTTCTTCCTTCTAGTATCTCTCCAAGTCTGCTTCTTTCTCTTTCTTCTGTCTCTTTCAGCATGGCTTAATCTCGTCTTGTCTAAATGTTTTAAAATAACCCTTTCCTTTTCTCAACCTGACTTTCACATTCCACAATTTCTTTTAAATCTTTGTGTTATTTCAAATGTCTTCTTTTAGTCATATTCATCTTTTTTTATTCCCTCCCTTTAAGCATCATTGCCAAATCCTGTCATTTATTTTTTCTTTTTTTGAAGTCTTCTGTCGAACATTTCTTTAGAGCTATTTTTCCTTCAATACCTATTTTTCTATCATTATTCCCTCTAATCTCAGGTCAGACATCTCTAAAGGATTTTAGCAATTATCCATGTGCATGCGTGTTTTATATTAAATGGCAAGATCTGTCAGATAGATGTTGCTGAAAGAACTAGCACTGGTGTTCATTATCTGCAAGCTTTCTGTGCAGTTTCTCTGCTCATTTATTCTATTTTGATTTATTTCAGCTTCATCTGTTGCTAAACTGTAATGAGAGGTGCAATAAAAGAGAAACATTTTTAAAGCTTTAATTGAATTTGGACGTATTTGAAGTGAGTGGTCTTTGACTCAAGTGGTCCAAACACACCACACTCATTTCCTTGTCATGACCTTGAATGCCAGACTGTCCATTTCTAACCTCCATTTCCTTCCATGCAGTACATGTACAGTATCTGCGCCTTCATTCTCAGTATTTTTTTTCTTTGTCAATGGAATGTTTGAAGGTCATCTCCTTGATGTTTTTTAAAGAATGTGCTCATTATCATTTAATCTCTCATGTTGTTTTTCTCATTCTCTAATCCTCTTGCTTATGATGAGGTCCCTCCCCATGTTGCATGTGTGTTTGTGCATTGTGTCCATGTGTGTTTGCAGTGCATGGTCTGTGGGAGGAGTGGTCATCATGGAGTCTGTGCTCTGTGACCTGTGGGCGAGGTTCCAGGACACGAACCAGGAAGTGTGTGAACGGAGGCAGGGCTGTGGCATGTGGGCAGCCCGAGATTCAGACCAAACTCTGCAATATAGCAGTGTGTCCGGGTTAGTATACCATCACCATTACATGATACATCTATACCATCCCCATTTACATGATACAACAGTCTCCCTCTTTTGTAACCTCTCTGCCTGTCCTTCCACGATGCTGCTGTCTTCTTCTTTTTCTTCCAAGTGACAAAAATCAAAACCAACAATGGCTGTCAACAAATAAGCCAACTTCAAGTTTAGACTGTTTGGATTAGGTTAACAAGAGGTGTCATAGAAGACTGCTAGGAGTTTTCCATCTCATTGGGATCACCTGTCTTTTTGTAGCATCAAAGATGGAGGAAGCCTGTCCTCCAAAGGTCTCACAGATGGCCTATGTGACTGCAGGGACCTACTATGAGCATGAGATCCTTCAAATGGAGTTAATCATTTACAGTACAAGCATATGTATTTATATTTTGTATTTTTCCATTATAGCTCTTGTGCTGAGCAAGTCACTCTCCTCTGCTAAAGTGTAGCCCAATGCTGCTTTTGTGACACTGTGTAGACCATAATTACCAGAACCTGACTAGGTTAATGTCAGCCTCACATATTGTAATTTTAAGCCTAGAATACTGTTAATTTCTGACAGCTATAATAAGTGACTACATACAGTACAGTGCAAGTAACTGCATAGTGGCTGTTAGCCCACCATTACAGGCTACCAGTTACACTGAAATAAATATTTACAATAATAGAATCAATCAGCTTGCTTCAGTTGTTTTTAGCCATATTAGCAATGCGGCTTTATGGACAGCAGTCTCCATAGGTTGGGCAGTTGGTCAGTCCACCACTTTGGACCAGAATGAAATATTTTAAAATCTGTGGGATGTATTCCCTTGACATTCAAGGTCTCCAGAGGATGAATCCTAATGAATTGGTGACACCCTGGCTTTTCTTCCAGAGCCACCATGAGGTTGACATTTGTGGTTTAAGTTAATAATCTTGGTGACTATTGAATATATTGCCATAAAATCTGGTAGAGAAATTCTTATTGTAAGAACTAGTGTATGAAATGTAGGTGCTTTTGGGGCCTCTGAAACACTGTGATTGATAGCTTGTACCTCCTGAAAATCTCAAGAAATTTCAGGGGGTTCTCAGAAATGTGCCTAGTCCTTCTACTTACAGTATTTACACAATACAATTTATTTGCATGTAACCTTATAAACCTTTGATTTGAAAATAATACATTAAAACTATATTCTAATCACTGCATTTATGATATTGTACCAAAAGGGAACATGTAGGGCTGTTACTCTAAAGACACACTGTCCACTTTATCTACACCTACAGCTGCTTTTATCAGGATCAAACCATCATAAAGTATGAAAACAGCAAAACAGCATATATCCCCTGTGGTCAAAACAAAGGTGTGTCTTTGTAAAATGTAACCATTTGAAGAAACTGAATAATGAGTGACTGCACCAGCCAAAGTATTGTTATCTACCAACCATGGCTCTTAAACTATTCTCAGGTGTTATTGTAGTTTGTGTAAATATTTTACATGGATAGTTAGAGTGCACCCAGGACAGCAGAGGGAGTAAAAACCTGAACTAATGCATGAACATAGGGAACTGTTTGCTGTTCTTTGTGTTCTGCTGACATGGTCCGAACACAGCATATCCTCATCTTTCCTGTCTGCTGATGCTCACTGCTTTAACACCTAGGCTGAATTTTACTTTCACCTTCATCTGTGGTCAGCCATAGGATTTATGCCCATGGTTGACCAAAGTGTAACAATTGCTAGCTAGAAAAGCCTTTAGGTTGGACTTCTGTGCTTTTTACATGGTTTGCTTGGTTTAGATTGCTGAACAATCCTGCAGTACAGTTCTTCAGCTATTGTCTTGAGATTACCTATTAGGCCTATGCCTTGTCAAGAGCAAGAATAAGTTGCTGCTGCTGCCCCATCTAATTGGTGCCAAGGTTATCTCAGGGCATTATTCAAATCTGGTTTAGACTTCCGAACTGAAACATCTTTATCAGGCTGCTGTTGGACTGGAATAAGACCGAACCGTGAGTGACTGATATAAAGCCTTTGAGGAGTAGGTTTGACCAACCATTAATATACAGTATCTCACCACAGAGCAAAGACTAAGATCTACTCATTAAACAATGTAGAGTCCAAATATACTGTAGCACTAAGAAAAAACTTTGGCATTTTAAAACTTAAAGTATACTTTAGGCCTAAAAATTGACTGTCCAGTTTTAATTTCAAATTTCAAGTGTACCTTTAGAAAACCAATTACTTTGAAAGCATTGACATTAGGAAGGAATATTCATTTCAGTCATTTAATTTGTTCAGTGTTTTTTGTGTTGGTAGAATACAAATGGTTCCTGCATAATGTTGGAATAATGACATTAATGACACTAAACATAAGACAGTTTATAACAGAGCTGGTGAATGCTTTCTGAATAATAACTCTTTTTTTTTTAACCTGAATTGATTTCACTCTGCATGAGAGTGTTTATGCTTGTATAGTATGTAATCACTCAGTCTGAGTGATCGTCACAGGGTAAGTGCTTTTTATTTATTATTGTTAAGGTAAGTGTCCTGTATTATTTTCCCCTGGACTCTGGATGCACACTGCCTTTACAGTGCATTTATGTTTCTGGAGGCTGGGACAGAGCCTTTTGTTTCTCCACAATTCCTACAGATTCCTATCTATCTATCTATCTATCTACCTACCTACCTACGTAAATAAAACAAAAATATGGCCATCACCAGAAAAATCACCTGTCTCAAAGAGGGAGCAAAAGGGAGAAGTTATAATCTAAACTATGGCATCTGGGATGTTTTGCCATGCTGTTTTGGGAACAGTGATCGAAACAGAGGGTTTGGGAGAAAGGATAGGCTTTTCCTTCAAGGACCTTAAAGAAATCTGTGAATCTGTATTTTTATATGGTTTATGTACAGTATGTATGTGTGTGTTTGTAAATTTCTCACTAGAGATTCAGTATGCTGTTGGCAATTCAAATGCAATGGTCCTTTGAAATGATAAATACCAGCATACAAATGTCCATGCAATAGAGCTTTGATGGATCTTGTCTACATGTGTGTGTCTGTGTGTTTGAGGGTGCTGGTGTATGCTTGTGTCACAGAGATTTATCTCACACAATGTACTCACACTGTATGCCATGCAATACAACGTACATTGTACTATCTATACTACAGTATGCTATACTAGTGTAGATTTACATTTAACATTTGATTCTAATTTATTCAGTGTTGCAGAGTAACTAGTTACTGTAATTAAATTACAGTAATCAGTTACAGAGAATAAATATGTAATTAAATTACAGCTATTAATCAAAATGTAGGTGATTACAAAGGGGTTGCATTTGAATATGCTTTTTTCAGTAAAAAGCTTATGCAGTATGTATATATAACATTCATTCTGTTGATTTGCGTCTTTTTGTTGTACAGGAATGC